TTTTAAAAAAATTCCAACTGAGTGCAAAATCTCACAATTGTACAAAATAAAATATCATTTTATATGCAGCAGTTACGTTCAATAAAATTATTTCTTTTGCAAAAACTAATGAATTGAGGATATGCAGGCTTATCTGAAATGAACACGGATTTCTAAAATTCTTATCAAGAATATAACTAAGAAAAGTATAAACATTGGGGAAAGAAAATAATATTTAACCGGTGAAAAAACCAACGAGATTGGCTTTATTGCAGAAAATAAAGCAGAAGGAAGTTGTTGTTGATGTTGTTAATTTACGTAGCTCTAGAACTGCACAATGGGCTATGGGCGACGGTCTGGGAAACATCCCGGAGGATGATCCGAAGACATGCCATCACAATTTTGATCCTCTGCGGAGGGGATGGCACCTCCGCTTCGGTAGCCCGACGACCTGCGCGCGAAGTCGAGCACTTTACGGTAGCACAGTGTAACGAGGACCAATACCGCACACCCTCGGTCCCTACGCAGACTGATCCAAGTGGTCACCCACCCGCACACTGACCGTAGCCAATGATGCTTGACTTCGGTGATCTGCTGGGAACCGTGTCTTAACGATCAGTCCACTGCGGGACCAGAAGGAAGTTAAATGACGATTGTTTTAAATACCTTTGAATTTAAACTTTTAGTTAAACCTGATTTGATATATTTTTCATTTTCATCTAATGGGTTTTTAATAAAGTTTCCCATCAAGAATTGAAATACGAAAAAAAAAATTTCAACGGAATACGCGAATAAAGATTTGCTCAGATTGTAAAAATTTGCTTTTCATGAATAGATTTGGATATTATTAATTTTAAATAACTTGCATGCGGTAATCTAAAACAGTAAAAATGAAGCAAATTTCAATCATGATGGTTTTCCAATGACGGACCAAGATAAATGTGATTGTCTTCATCTTGAATTTCAACCAAAAACCATTTTACAGCTATATGGGACCATCAAATCTTTCCAGAGTTAGGAATTGGCACCTTTTTCACGTTAGAAAAACATAACATACCCTTCATAGTATGCTAGATTTTTATAATTCCCAGATGTTCCATTTAATCCATCATGATCGAACATAAATTACTAGAATTTTGTATCATAATCCATCATGCATTTTGTTGAGACCATCAAGACTGCCCAACATCCCGATATTGAAATTAATCCAGCTTCACGGGTCAATCACACTTGATGCGTTTGATGGACTGGTTTCTTTCGTTTCAAACAGTGAATCTTATCTCTACAAAGTGCGTGACCAAGAAATGATCATTTTTGCCTGCTCACCCAAGAGTGTTTTCCACCACCGCCACGCACAATCGGACGATTTTTCCCTCCTTTGAAAGAAAAATTATAGACTTTAACTAGTAGTTTCAGTTAAATGAATTTTCAATTTATTTAACCGACAATTGATATCCATCCTTGTACTAAAACAATACTTTCCATCATGAAATGAAGGAAGTTATTGACCTTAGATAATCAAACATAACTTGTTGGTTGACCATCATAGTACTAAAGCAACATTTTCCCTCATGAGATAAATAAATTTGTTGGTCAATGATTTTCTAACATAACTGGTAGGTTGACCATCATATAGTGAAATATCATTTTCCAACATGAAATGATGGAAGTTTATTGGTTCATCAATATCCTTTTCTGCATTAAGGGAATTGTCGGCTGCTGTTTACTATTAAATAATGTTTGGCCTTCAAGAAACCAACATAAACCATCAAAATATCTTGATGGTCTTATAAACAAGTTTGTTTTGGGTTAGTTAAATGACATTTAGTTATAGTTACATGGTTCTTAGTTACGTGACTCGAATTGAATTACATAACTCACTATTTTTAGTTGTTTGCAAGTATCTTCGAATACTTTACGAAAGAAAAGGAATATTTAAAGTTTTTTTTTATTTATTTTAGAAGAATGGATAAAAACAATGATATTTTGTGCAAATTTAGTTTTAGATTAACATTATCAATAATCAGTGCAATAAATAAATTCACATAAACAAATTAAATGACTCTCAAACAAACTAAACGATGCGTTATTCTTGAATTTACTTATTTTTGGTATTGTAACAATGTGAGAGACCAGTCTGAAAATAGAGATCGTTTTGAAAATTTCCTGTTTTTAGGTTGAAAGTTTCAAAAGATAGCACCACAAAAAGTTAATAACAAAATATTATTCTTTGCTCCGCCAACGGTCAAAAATCTTTTGAGCTAAAAACTTGGAGTGCTGGGGAAAAAATATGCGCTACCTTATAAATTTTCTGCATGAATTTTCTTTAGATATAAATATAATACTACTATGTATAAGAAAATTCTTAGAAATGGAAAAGCTAAAAATTCTCCTTACCGATTTATCCAAACCAACATTTTAATTTCATCCTGTATCTAATTAGTGATAGCTTTAGTTTTTTTTTTCCTTTTTTCTTTTTTTTTTTGAATTAATCATATAGTAAAGCAAAATAATAACGTAAAAAGCTTAGAGTAAGAAAGTAAAAATTGAGCCTTAGCTGATGTTTAGGATAAACGAAGGAAATTTGATAAGCTTTATTACGAAGTGTGCTAATCTGAATGTTCGAAAAAAGGCAAGTTAAAATTAATATCGGAGATTTTTAGTGTCTGGAAATTTAATATAGATTAAGACAGTGTTTCATTCGCTAATTTGAAATATATATATCAAAGTTTTGTCGAGACTATAATAATGTTCTTATTTATTCCTTTATCTTAAACGTGATAGTTTCATTTATAAATGGCGAAAGTTCAATACATAAGCTTATGTTATGAGAAAGTAAAAAAAAAATGAAAAGAAACATTAAATAAAAACTTAAATGAGATGACCTAGATTTTTCATCAAAATTGAAACAAAATTTCATATCAAGTCTTTACAAACTTAATTTAATTCAAAACTTTTAAAAATTATATGCTCCTAGGATTTAATTTTAAATACAAATACTTTTCAATTGTTTTTCAGTAAGAAAGCACAATCTCCGCGTTTTGTGATTTAGATATTTTAATGTTCGTAACAAAATTTAGTTTAAAACACTCTTTTTAGATATTTTATATATATATATATATATATATATATATATATATATAAG